CAGATGAGTGGTAGCACCCATGAACTTTCATATGTTACAGCTATGCCTTTTTCTGGATTAGATTTGTATACTTTCTTGTGTTTAGATAACTGTCCTTTTTCTGATTTGCATTTGTACCCCATGACAGCCTGCCCCAGGCATTGTGGGATAACCCCAGAGTTCTGTGCTGGAGTGGCATGAGCTTGGCACCTGCCTGTTTACTGTGTCTCCACACAGTATAGCTTCCTGATTTTAAACAGCATTTGAACAGACCAAACACACGTCTTTGGCTGCCATCCAGAGTTTGACTTCTGTTTCCCAATAATGCCATAAAAATGCTCTGTCAAATAAATTCTCAGGAACTAAAAAGAACAAATTCCCCGTTCTGCATGATGGTAGAGAATGGAAACAGGTTTCAGCTGACTGCCTGCCTCGCTGCCCATGGCACAGAAAAACCAAACTGCAGAACATCTTTTGGCAGTGTTTTCTAGTGATCAGAGACAATTCTCTGTGTGTGATAGATGGGCTTCCCATGTGAGCTTTGCACATTTATATCCACTGATGCTTTTGGGTTCCATCAAATACTACTTTTACATCCTGCTGGGTGATATATTGGTATATGTTATGAAGTGTTTGAGCCTTGGCTCAATATTCTGTTTAGTAAGCTTGTAGTGCTAACAGTGGAAAGAATCCTTTGTGTGTATTAACACACTTGTATGCGTGTGTGTGTGTGTGTGTGTGTGTGTGTGTGTGTGTGTGTGTGTCTGTGTGTCTGTGCACGTGCATGTTTCTATGCGCGTGTGGAGTGATGAGTACCTTTCTCTAGAAATTATAAAATCCTTAGCATTCAGGGTTGAATGGGGAAGGAGATGGAATATTCAAATTAGAGTCCAAGGTTTCTCTGCAAAGTGACCATATTTTATTTGAAGATGTGAATGTGGGAGTAGACAGAAAGTGTAGCAGAGAGAACCAGTGGGAAAGCTGACGTGGCCTAGAAGGGGGAGGCACATGGGGATGCTGCCTTCAGAGTGACCTCAGTACAAAGGTGCAGGTGGCCAGGCCGAGGCACCTTGGCCCAGGGCTGCTGGCTCTCCCCTGTCCTTCTTCTCTCTCCCACTAATTCCCCATTGACTGACCTCTATCTGAAGCCAGCGTTGGAAGGGCAGTAAGTCCTTTGTTTTGGCTTCTAGAGACTGAACATGACCTGGTTGGAAGGCACCAGGAAGGCCTCTGGAATGTTCCCATCATATGTGTCCAGTGATTGCTGACAGAGGCCTAATAATCTACAGAAAATGTACTTTCATTTTAAAATAAAATACTTATTAATGTATGATTAACATGCAATAAAATTCATGTACTTTAAGCATACATCTTGATACATTTTGATGTTTATATTTACCTATGAAACCATGATAGTGAATTTATCATACTTTAACATTTTAGATAGTCTCTATGGTTCTTTTAGGAAATTACAGAAAGATATCATGGAATCAAGCCATGACAGGCACAATTTCAAAAGTGTTGGCGCTGACAAAATACACAAAAAATAAAATCCAAAGTTCATGAGGAGTTTGAGGATATAGCTCAGTGGCAGAACACGTGCCTAGGAGGTACGAGATCATGGTTCATCTTCAGCCTGCAAACTACTGATTCCCACACAAAACATCAAAAATGGTAGGCTTGGTGGGGCAGGCCTGTAAATCCCAGTTATGTAGGAGGCTGAGGCAAGAAGATCACACATTTGAGGCTAGCCTGGCATACAGAGTCAGTTCCCTGAGCAATTTAGTGAAACCCCGTCTCAAAACAGAAAGAGGGCTGAGCCTGTAGCTCACTGGGAGAGCATGTAAAAGGCTCTGTGTTCAATCCCAGCTCCACACACATTCTCACAAGACTTGGGAGGAAACTCTTTCATTGGAGTTTGTAGTAAAAAAGAAAATAAAACTAAGTTTGAAAGGTTTTTTTGGTCTGAATTTTGCATTGTTTACTGCCAAATATTTGAAACAAAACATGGGACTGAACAAATGGCTTACCAACTAAGAGTGTTTGCTGCTCTGCCAGAGAGCCCGTGTTCAGATTCCAGCACCCAGATCTGGTAGCTCTCAACTTCATCGTCGGGGACACAACACTCTCTCCTGGCCTCTGCAATCTCTGCACTCAAGTTCATAAGCATCCCCCACCTGCCACACACACATGTAAATATAATTTAAAAATAATGAAGATAAGGGCTGGAGAGATGGTTCAGCTGTTAAAGGCTAGGCTCACAACTAATAATAATATTAATATTAATAATGAAAATAAAACAAAACAAAACCCACCCAAATGGAAGTCTGTGGATCTATATGGTCTGAGTGGTTAGCAATTGAAGTTTCGAGAGAATCAGTGCTAAATGTGTGCTGCAGTTCTGGTGGAACTATAGATGTGACGTTCCAGTGTGTACTGTATATGATAGTCATATGCAAAACAGTCTGGGAAATAGGTTCAAGATTGGGTGGAAGGGCTCAGTAAAGCCTCGGTCCTCGAGGAAGCAGAGTGTTGGGAGGTGTGATGGTTAAACTTGGTGGCCAGCTTGGTAAGACCAGTGAAGAGGGACCCTCAGTTGGCCTTTGTCAGGTTGGCCACGGGCATGTCTGTGGAGTATTTTCTTGATTGCTAATTGATGTATCGAGGGCCATCCTACTAAGAGCAGTGCCAGCGTTAGGCAGGTGGGCCTTGCCTCTATAAGAAATGTAGCTGAGCAAGCCTGCCAAAGCAGTGAGTACGTAGTGTTCCTCCGTGGTCTCTGCTTCAGTTCCTGCATCCAGGTTCTCAACATCACTCTGTGACAGGTTTCACAATCTATGAGCAAAATAAACTCTTTTCTCCCACAGGGTGGTCTGGTCAGTGTTTTACCACATCAACAGAGAAGCACATTAGGACAGGAGGGGAGTTGTGTTATTGATAAGTGCTCACAGCTGTTACTGTCACCAGTGTTGAATATTTAATATGCATTTGGCATTCTATATCACTTCATTAATCCTGCCCAAACCACAGGAAGTAGATACTGTTGGGCTCCCTCCTTTACAGATGAAGATAACCTTACAAATGTTGAGACCGAAGTGAGTCACAGAAGCCGCTATCTTACTGTCTAAAGGTCACAGAGCTTGTATGCAATAGAGCCACGATGGGTTTAGATTCCTGCTTTATCCTGTTCTGCATTATATTATGCAGCAAACCAATCACCCACAAACACATTTAAGGAATTATTAGCAGCAAGTTTCTTGATACCCACCTCTAGTAGACCAGGGTGCTAAAGTCCTACCTGGGTTGAGAGCTGGTATCCACAGTCTTCACTGTCCTCAGAGTCCTGTGTATCTAAGGTAATGTTCTCAACCTGTGGGTCACAACTACAGTTATAAGGTAGTGATGAAAATCATTTTATGATTGGGGCTCACTCCAGCATGAGGAACTGTGTTAAAGACCCTAAGCATTGGGAAGGTTGAGAGCCACAGCTCTAAGGAAATCAAGATCTCCAGGGAGGAAGGCCAGGTCCAATGGAGGACTGCTTCATCTATTCTCAGGGGTATGGTAGCATCTATCAGCACAAGACCCCTAGGCTTCTCTTTGCTGGCTTTCAGATGAAACAGGCAAGTCCGGAGTGCTCTCTAAGTCCAGGGGAAGGAGTGGTATTACTTCCATCTATACACAGCCCACTCTCACAACCTCTTCGGAGACTTGGTCTTTGGCTACCTATCTCATGTCACTGGTCACCATCTCTCCTGTTTCTTCAGAAAAATAGTCCTTATTGGATGGTAGAGCATCCATTGCCAAAACTTTTAGTCTTAGGATACCTGCTCTTGCTTAAAAAAGTATTGAAGACCAAAAGAATAAACATTCAGATCAGTTATACCATTTGCAATTTACCATAACAGAAATGAGAAAGCATTTATTCAGTGAAAATGGCAATAATGGGTCCATTATGTGTTATCAAAAACAAAGTATGAAAAGATAAATGTGCTTTCTACACCAGCCATGATGCTTAGCATTATTTGATGCTTTGTCTATTCCCTCTGTTCATAATAGATAGCTAGGTTGTTGAACAGCTTCTGTCATTCAACCTGTATTACTTAAATATGTTGTTTAGGTAAAAGTTGATGAAGAATGTCTTCTCTCATAAAGGCTTGAGTTCCCTTTCTTATGGAAAGGGGAAAGATACTTTAATAGTCTTTTCATTTATAGGCAGTATCCAATCAATCTATCATGGTTGAGCATAATGCTTTTCAACTTTATCACGGTACAGAAATCAAGCCCACATAGTCATTCTGTTCACTTCCAGTATGGTGTTCATTAAATCACAGGTAGTATTCAGCACGTTACTGTAAAGTAGGCTCTGTGTGGAAGTGCTGAGGGTATGTAAGATGGGCTAGTCTAAGTTACAATTTATGGAGGATTTATTAGGAGTATATTCCCACTAAAATTCAAGGAACTTCTGAAATGATAGAAATTGCATTTTTTGCTATTCCCAAATGCAAGTCTTTGTTTTCTAAGGCTGGATGCTGTGTGGTCCCTGTGCCCTGTGAGCCATTCCCAAACAGTAGTCAAAGTCAATGGGTTGCGGTCTTGAAAAGATCAGTGTCTTTCCCGATTATAGTTTATGTAAAGTAAGTAGGATAAGAATCACAAGCCATCCGTTTCATCATACAGCTAATAAGTCTCTAAAAAACCAAAAACCCATCAAGTCCTCCAAGAATAAAAATGCTCCTTCTAATCAGATTTCAACTTCTCACATGCAGTGGCTTTGGAATCCTTTTCCTTGCTAGGTTAAATTACCAGTTCCTGACATAGTGCCTGCATAAGTACTTGTTGAGACTATTGGTTTGTTGAAATTGTATTCATACATCCAATTCCTATTTGTGTCCATTACCTTATTGTGTCACTGGACAGACTGCCTTTCAGAACACACCCGGACTTAGGTGGCTGCTTTGTCCACTCCTTCAGAGTGTTTCCAGGGCATTAACTCTCAGTTCCGTGTTTCTCTCTTTAAGATCCATACCGGCTTACAGCATCTCCTCATCAGGGTCTGCCAGCCCAGCTGTGTCCCCCTGGATGAAAAACTCCTGCCCCAGCTCCTGAAGGAAGCAGGCTATGCTACACATATGGTTGGGAAATGGCACCTGGGAATGTGCCAGAAAGAATGTCTGCCAACACGCCGAGGATTTGATACCTACTTTGGTAATGGAAATATGTATTTTTTTTTTAACAACACAGACCTACTGCAGCCAGCTCATAAAACACACCCAAGTGTCATCAAACAAAATGACTGGAAACTTGAACACAGAGCAAATCATCCAGCACCACAGTGGGCTGCTTTCTGATGATTCCTCCACAAGCCAGCTCCCTGCTGAGCTCTGGGTGGGCATGCACCCACAGCAAACACTGAAAACATAACATTTAAGTAGACTAACAAAATTGGAGTAACTGGTAAGACATGGAATAACATAAACTCACCAAACTGAAAAAAAAAAAAAAAAGTAAAAAGCTCCAGGAGAACTCCACATTCGAGTCCCAGATTGGAGTCTTCTTATGTTGGGAGGGAAGGGGAAGGAGGGGTAGAGGGAGAGGCTGCAAGAGTGCATTTTTACAAGCTAAGTGGACAGTAGGTGTTGAGGAATCGACTCATAGCTGTGAGAAAAGCTTCTTGGGAAGAAGGTAGAGGGGAGAGCGCCACTGTAATCATAAGCTGATCGCTTCCTTGTAGCTTGGCTTTAGGTATTTGCTTCCATGTGAGGTAGGCCAAAGCAGAGTTTGGAAAAAGGAGCAGGTCCACTTATGCTTGGACGCAGCCAAGCACTTGGATCTAAAGCCAAGGTCAAAATCAAGCATGTGGGAGAGCCGGTGTCCCCCTCTCCCTCCCAGGGCACTGCAGCACCACTAGCCAGCCGGGACATTCTTTCTGGCTGAGACTGGACAAGTCTTCAGTGCCCTTGAATGACTGTTAAAAATCAGTCTTCATAAGATTTAACATCCTGGAAGTTCTAAAGGAATGGCTTGTGGATTTTTTTCGTGCAGGCATTTGCTAGAGGATGTGTTAGTGTTTGTTCTTTGACAGACTGTGGCTATTAAAAACTGTATTAAAATCCAAGTTGTGTAATTACCATTTTAGTTGAACAGCTGGGGAGAGAGTTCAAACAAAAATTTGCATTTTTGAACCTTAGTTCGATCCCAAGTTCAAGTTTGAGAGTTTCAATGACAAAGGCACTGTGACTGTCACTGGTTGTGTGGTGTCAGTTTGGCCAAGTATTTGAGGAAAAAGTTCTATTTCTATAGTTCTCCTATTCATAATATTTGATATTTATGGTTCCTATAACCAAATGTACCCTGTGCATATGTCCTCCCCAGTGATAGTTTATATTAATGGATAGGGAACCTGAAGTCTTCCCTCCAAACTCTAATACCTCATCAATGTTAAAAACACAAACTAGGTCCTGATCATTCTAATTGCCAAAGTTGAAATCACAAAGTTGAAATCACTGTTCTTCATTTTATTTATTTATTTGTTTGTGTGTATGTGTGTGTCCATGTGTGCATGTGGGCATGACAGCATGCTTATGGGGGTCTGAGGACAAACTCAGGCTTGGTGGCAGGCAGGCGCCTTTCCCCACTGAGCCATCTCACCAGCCCTGAAATTATTTTTTGTGAATACACATTTTTCTATTTCACATTAAGTAATAAATATGTTGGATTCATTTGCTATAAATATAGATGAAAATCACACAAAGTTATCTTAATGTCTGATATACTAATTATATGTAGGACCTTGACCTTGGGTCATGGAAAATAGTTAATCTAAAATGAATTAAATTATTATATAAGCCATAGAAAGCTCTTGGTTGTCATTGTATAGGAAATTCATGAGAAGGGAAAGAGCTAGACACATTTTTCATCATTTTAAGGATAAAAAGGAGTATGTTTAAGAATATAGCTAAGAGCCCAGGGAAGTTTATTTCCTTTTAATAGCTTTATTGAAGTATAATTCACATACCATACAGTTCACTCAATTAAGGTATTTAATTTAGTGATTTTTAAACAAGTTGAGGGATTGTTCCATTATCATTACAATCCAGTTATAGGACATGTTTTTTTTTTGGGGTTTTTTTTTTTTTATTACTCATACAAAGAAACCAGATTCCAGCAGTCACCCAGCTTCCAGCCCTGGGCCGTCACTAATGCCTTCTCTTTTGTGTGACTGACCTATTCTGAGCAAGTCTGTGAATTTAATCCTAATACACAGCACGGCTTTCTTTCGTACTTCAGCAAAACATGAACATTTGCAGAACAGCTATTGGGAAACTTCCTTTCCTCCTGTGCTTCAGTCTCTGTTGTGGGAGAGGGATCTGCTACAGAAACAGCAAGGTTGACAGGCCGCTCAGCTCAGTGAGCAGCATGTCTCTGAACAGCAGCTGAGGTACTGTATGTGGAACAGTATAGATGGAATGCTCTACTTTGACCTGGAGCTGGTAAGCAACCAGAGAGCTTGTATTTGGAAAGGTTTGTATCTTTCCACCACTGGGTGTCAGCATTTGACTAAATATAACTCTTGCTGAGGCCTTGTTCATAAATAACCACAGACATCTGCCAGTCTCGGAACTGCAGTAACAGCAATTCAGACGTGATCTGAATCCTGTTTTTATTATCTTACAAGCAAAACCTTGTAACAAATCATATTACCAGTGCATTGTCTTTTTTTCTTAGCTTTAAAGGATTAACAACTTATTGCCTACTGAACAACTCTGATTTCTAAAAGCCAGTTTCCAGGGAGTCGCCCACTTACAAAGAGTTGACATGATAGAGCTGATGCTCTGAAGCCTCAGTAAGAAAAGGACTTGGGTTTCTGTGCAGTAACATTTTAATGGTGTCTACAAGCAAATATAGAGATGTTAAGAAATGTAGCTCTGATTAGCCTTGTCATTTGATTAGCCTCGTCACGGGCAATCAAACGCATTAGGCAATTAAAGCTGGAACACTCGTTTGCTTAACAGGCTTTATGCCATGCTGACTGTTTCCTCTCCCATTCTTCTTGTAGGATACCTCCTAGGCAGTGAAAACTATTACACCCACGAGGTCTGCGCACTGATTGAACCCTTGAATGTTACACGGTGTGCTCTCGATTTCCGAGATGGCGAAGAACCCGCAACAAAGTATAACAATACTTATTCAACACACATATTTAGCCAAAGGGCTACAACCCTCATAGCTAACCACCCACCAGAGAAGGTAAGGTTTCCCTTTTCAGTGTTATCAAAATCTTGTTGCTTCTAAAGGGTTTTCTTTTTTATTTTTGGAGCACATTCCAGTTAACCAAAAAGGGAAAGTTGTTATAAGTGAAGATTCTTCATCTTCCCTCTTAAAGATCCGATGGACCAGGTGTGGAAAAAAATCTATGCAGCATGCAGGAACCCCTAAGAGACAATTCTCACAAGAGGGGATCCTGGGCTTCAAGTGAAGGAATGGTGTCTTTCAGGATTTCAATGGAATACCTCCTTACTCTTTCTTTTTTCTTTTGGTTTTTCAAGACAGGGTTTCTCTGTGTAGCCCTAGCTGTCCTGGAACTCACTCTGTAGACCAAGCTGGCCTTGAACTCACAGAGATCCATCTGCCTCAGCCTCCCGAGTGCTGGGATTAAAGGTGTGCGCTACCACCGCCGGGCTTTGCTTACTCATATATAATGCTCTATGTGCCTATGCTATAAGTGGTTAGCAAAACCAGACTTCTGGTTCCCAAACAAGTGTCTGTGTGCAAGGCGAAGGCCCGTTATAGAGAACTGTTAACAATTCAGGGATCAGAGGAAGTCCTCTCCTCTTGTACTTTTCTCTTCAGGATTATCTTGGTTACTTTCAATCTTTGTATTCCCATATTACTTTTAGAATCGGTTGACCATTTTTTGCCAAGAAAACAAAAGATGGTTGCTTCATTTGATGTTCATCAATCAACTTAAAGGAAATGGCCATCTTAGCAATACTGAGATTTTAAAATTCATATGCATGGTAGATCAGTTTTCACAGGTACTATAAGGAAACCATTGGATACATCATGTACAGACTTAGCTGCAGGTAAAAAAAGACTTGTGAATATCTTTAAACCAAGATCGTCTGGACTTGGCATCTAAGTGCTTTTGAAATGATACTTACGTTGCCAGACACTAGGCTCAAAGGGTGTCTTCATGAATTGTATTCATACATCCACAAAATGTCCTTCAGTGGTAGCCAGCCTAACATGGAGAATTCCAGAAAGTGTGCAGGTCTGTCCTACTGCACTTTGTCTCTTTGACAATGCCTGGAGGTACTTGGCACAGGTCTTGATGAAGGTTCCAGCTTGCATACCTGTTCAGACTTAATGACTGGCTAATGACTCCCAGTCCGGCATGGAATCTTCCAACCTCTCCCTTTGCTGTTCTTAGTCAGTAGGAGGGACACTCCCTGGTGACTGGTCTCAGCTTTGTCTGACTTTGAATTTTTAAGAACTTCATGCTGACATCTCTAGTCAACTGTCTGCCATCAAACATGAAGAAAGGGAAATGTTCTCTCAAATATTTAGAAACATGTACAAAACAGTATTGTCTCCTAGTGCCCTCATAACTTCAAACAGCTAAGAGGAAGCAGCTGTGGAGAAGTAGTTCTTTGTGGGTGGGTGGCTAAATTGGGCTTGTGGAGAAAGCGCCGGAACCGAGGACACTAATAGGCGTCAAGAACTCATATGCTTTGGAAGGGGTGTTGTCAACATGGCAATGCTCATAGATGGCATTACAAAATCACCAGATGGGAGATGGACGTTTCCTGCCAGTGTCTGAGCTGCTCTGAAGAAGTAGTCGTCTTTCCCAGTGTCCCCAAGCACAGGCATAAGTGAGGAAATAGTAGTTGGTAGCAACCGACAGGTAGCAACCTGAAGGAGGCAGCTCCTTCAGGTCTTCAGTTTCAGTTCTCAAGGCAGTGACGCATCATCTCACAGGTTCCAGGAGCTGCATCTTTCCCCAGGGTTAAACCTAATTCTGTGCTAGGCTGTCAGGCACCACTTACAGATTGTTGCATGGCATTTGTTCTAAGATGGAGGCCATTAAAGGAATTCACATGCAATGTCCACAAGTCAACTAAAAATATACCTGCTTTTAAGGGGCAGGTGAGGGAGAAAATTGATAGGGCTGTTGTGTAACAATTGAGTTGCTAATGCTGGTGTGGGGACACTGCAAATGGCTTTTCATGTGTCAGGAAGGGACGTCCTTTCTCCTTGATGTCAGGGTGACTCTCACAATCCCAACACTTAAAAAAAAGTAATATATTCATAACTTGACTTTCCATTAAAAAATAGCACAGCAGCACTTTGAAGAACTAAAATCTCTAAGATTTCTGCATCTAATCTCCTAGAAGCTTCCTAAAGAAAACAAAGCAAGAACTCCTAGTTGGAAGACTCTTTCTTTGCCCTGGCACAAGTTGGGAAGAAATGTCTTAATTTGAATGTCAAAGATAGAATAGCAGTTTCAAAAATTATCTGTGTTTTTCCATTTATACTTTGAATTAGGCAAACCTATAAAAAAAAAGCTTTACTCCTTTATGACATAGGATTTCTCTCCATTGTGAGGATGTTCAGAGTGTACATCTTAGCCATGGAGCATAATAGGAAAGCGGAAGCCATTAGCATCTAAACGTGAGTGTGTGATAGCTCTGCTGGCCATGTCTGGGTTTTATGTGCTACTCAAGTGTCTTGTCACAATTTCCCAATAGGGATTCCATTTTTTAGTCTTAGGGTACTTGAAAGGGTCGCAGTTAGGGTTGGGGTTCTGGGTTGTATAAGAAAGCAGACTGAGCAAGCCATGTGAAGCAAGCCAGTGAGCATCACCCCTCCAGGGCCTCTGCATCAGCCCCTGCCTCCATGTTCCTGCCTTGTTTGAGTTCTTGTCCTGACTTCCTTCAGTGGTGAACAGCAATGCTGAAGTATAAGCCTAATAAACCCTTTCTTCCCCAACTTGCTTTATGATCAATGTGTTTCTTTGCAGCTATAGAAACACTAAATAAGATACCAGTTCTATATGGAATTCCCTCCATCTAGACTTCCTGTCGTTAGAGATAAAGATGAGGCCTTTCCACATATCAGTTGTCTATAAAGAAAGGATGTGGCCTGCCTGATAATAAGTTGTTTAACATGCTCATTCTAGGCAGGGCCAGTCAGACTCACAGAAGAGATGCTCAGTCAGAGGTGCCAAGAGACCACACCCTTTTCTGATTTTTTTAAAGAACTAATTAATTTAGATAAGGGGGGGGTGTCTCACACTGTAGTCTAGGCTAGCTTGGAACTCTTGCTATAGCCTAGGATGGCCTCAAACTCAGGACAATCCTCCTGCCTTAAACGCCTGAGTGGTAGAATTACAAGCAAATGACACCATGCCCAACTTAACAAAGTTTCAGATGATTTTCACTTGACCTTTTTATTTATTTTTAACACTTTATATGGGGTGCAAATTAGGTCGCCTTGTGATTTTTAGTTCTGTCCCCATTTATCCCTTGACTGGTATCTGGAGTTGGCTCAGTCTGGTGCTGAAGAGTGAGTCAGGAAGACTCCCACAGCAGAGCCCCATGCACTGTCAGAGCTCAGAAAAAAGCCTCGCACAGCCTCCCGTGGTCCAGATGGACCCAAACTGCCAGTGTGACCTGTGTGGATGAGCAGGGGCAGAGCAAAATGGTGTTAGAAGTTTGGGTATAGAGTTTAGGAGTGGGAATTTGAAGTAGTTTTTCATGGGTATACGTACAACATTTAATTTTATCATTTAATTTGAAATATCTAAACTCCAAATACACTTTTGGGTGTCTATTTGAGCTCCCTGAATGGATGACCTTTCCTCTTATGCATCTGCATCCCCTTAGCTGATTGGCACGTACTCCATCAAAGAGATGTATGTATCATTTAAAGCAATTTTGCAACAATAAAAAAATGAAGTGAGTCCCTCCCATCTGTCTTTTTGCCTCCTCCATTTATGATGTAAATGCCTCAAATACTTCAATAGCATAATGTGCTCATTCTTGGACTGAAGTGATTGATTGTCTCCTGGAGAGTTTTCAACACATTGGAGAATTCTGTAAGGCACAGTGCAGGGGATATCTGCAGAACAGCCCCCTAAAGAGAAAGGGATCACTAGGAATACCACAGATGCTGAGGCTGCTAATTGCATAAGAGAATAAAACAACCTGTGGACCATACTATTATTTCCAGGAATTAAATTGGCCTTACATTTATTTGACTCAAGATCAAAGACTAATAAAACTATGTTTCCTAAAAAATGTTTTCAAAATCCCTGTAAACTTCTCTTTATTTTTACCTGACATATCTATCGGTGCACGTCAGCATCATAATAATGAGGTTGCCAGTAGGAAACCTCATCAATTAATGGTACGTGGGCATACCATCTAACCTTTTGAAGCCTTGGTTAATTCATCAGCAAATAGATATAACAGGATGGTTTTGGGTGTTAAATGACATAGAGTGGCCAGATAGTCATCAGATTATCTTCTATATAAAGCATTTAATATGTGGTGTGTTGTTGATATTATTGTTTATTTGGGTCAGAGCCTTCTGTACCATTCTAGAACTTTGACCTTTAAGTTTTGTATCTTTTCTCATCTTTTGAACATTCTTATTGAGGCATAATTTGCATAGAATAAATTCACTCACTCAAAGTATATAATAAATTAGGAAAACTCAAGAGCTATTTGATCATCAACACAGTCTGCTTTCCTTCAGCAAATCCTACCGGTGTGCGCCACCACAACCGGTGCTTTCCAAATATTTCATCACTCGAGAGAAATTTCTACCTGCTATTAGTGCTTCATCATTCTTGTCCCAGAATTCCCCATAGACACAGTCGGTCAGTCACATAGTATCTGTCTCCATGGACTTGCTTCTTCAGAATATTCAAGTCAATGCAGTAATTCAAGATGTGGCCTCTAATTGGCTGTTTTCTCTGCATGTTTTCAAAGTCCAACTGTGTTGTCACTGGTTGTTTTGTTGTTATACACCGTGACTAAAAATGTTCTGAATTCTATTTATCCATCCCTCAGTTTGTGGACATCTGAGTTTTCCTACTTCTTGGCCATTATGAATAATGTTGCAGTGAGCATCCATGTACATTTCACATGGACTTCGAGGCTTCATGGTTTTCTAGGAACAGGAAGGCTGGATTGTAAAGCAGCCGTGTATAACACTAAAAACTTCATTCTGCATCTGCAAAAATCACTTTACATTCTTACTAAGAGTAGTTGAGGGTTCCAGTTTCTCCATAGCCTCACCAATATTATTATTTACTGTTTTAAAAACTCTAAGCATTCAATGGGTGTGAAATAGGTATGAAATAGCGTCTCGCTGCAGTTTTTGTTTTGCAGTCCCCTGGTTATGAACATTTGTTATGTCTTTGGAGAAACACCTTTTTAAATTCTCTGTACTTAACTAAATTGCCCTTTATTGTTGAATTATTTATGTATTCTGAATGTGAGTTCCTTACCACATGTGTGATTCAGAGATACTTTTGGTGCACTCTGTAGGTTGTCTTGAAGCTATTGATATGAACCGGTGCATTTTAACTGTCTCGTGTTTTGTATTTAAAGTCTCCATCCCCTTTAACTGATGTCACAAACTCTCTTTCCAGCCGCTGTTCCTCTACCTTGCTCTCCAGTCTGTCCATGATCCACTTCAGGTCCCTGAGGAATACATGAAGCCATATGACTTCATCCAAGATAAGCACAGACGTATCTATGCGGGCATGGTGTCCCTCATGGATGAAGCAGTGGGAAATGTCACCGCAGCTTTGAAGAGCCATGGGCTCTGGAACAACACGGTGTTCGTCTTCTCCACAGGTCAGTCTGCCAGTAGGCCACCCATCTCTTGGCAAAGCCTAGGATGTGGCATACAGTAGGCGAATGAAGACAGATTGGAACAGTTAGCATTTCCTTATGAAAATAAATGCTGTAGTGGAGCCACAGTTGCAATGTGAATGAGGAAACACAATTACATTCCTTTCATCCTTTTGTTTATATGCACAATACACTGTGAGTGTACTTGAAGACCATTGCTCACTAACTGAGGGAATTAGCAGGTACCACATATCCTCAGGACATCAGGGTGCAGGTCTCCAGATTGTCTTGCTAGCCCAGCCATCTTCTATGACTACCACTGTCGGTAACCGAAGGTCTCTGTCTCTGGGCAGACAGGCTGTGACACTATAAAGACAGGTTAGAAAAGGAGCCAATTAAACTTAGGCTAGAATCTCCAAGTATAAAATGTTTTTGTATTAAAATAGTTTTCTAACAATAAAAGCTATGCGTTCATTATGGGGAAAGTAAGCACAGAAGAGGGTGAAAAAAAATTAAACATCAAGCCCCCAAGATGACTGAAGGCCATTTTCATGGAGTCGGGGACTTTCTGAGTGGAAATCTCTTACATTCATGATTCCCTTCCTCCACGGGAACCATTTGTGGGTTTTTGTTTTGTTTTTAAATTTCACTCCAATGAGACTTGGGCAGAGATCTGTGCTTATTCCTTGTCCTGAGCACTCAGGCAGCATGTTCTGTGTGAAATGCAGAGCGTGATGTGATGGGAACTTTGTTCATATTATTGATTTTCGAATTGTTAGACAACCACCTGCTCCTCCTACCTACTTTGCAGAACACCCAATATTTGCTTACTTGATCGGTCTTCCAATGTTCTTAATTTTTTATTCTGTTTTCTTTACATTTCTTTTACTGTTTGGAAAATTTACTTATCATCCTTTTCTAAACTTTGTGTTGCATTTATCTCACACTTGGTTTTTTAATTACCAAGAACTCTTTCTTATTTCCTGGTAACCCATTTCTGTAAGGTTTTTTCTTTATGCATGTAAAAGCTTACTCTTTAATATATGTGCATGTACTTGAATACATGTATGATACATGTATTTAAATACATTATTACATTTACTATATTTACAACATTCTCTATTTTAAGGTTTTTTTCTTTGTATGTTTGTATTTTTGTCTTAGTCTTTAAAGTGAGTGAATTCTTTAGATTCTTTTGACCTTGACTAAAATTAAAACTTTGATTGGAAACTCCATGTGTGAGATCAGGACCTGTCATTCAGTGAGTTTTACTGAAAAGTCACAGTGTGGGGGTGGGGTGACATGATGAGGAATTAATCTTGCTGGCCTCATAGTTGTTTTTGTTGTTCTGTTTGCTTTTGCTTTGCTTTTAGTTAAGTGTAGGTTTGAGCACTTACTGTATACAGGACAATTTTAAGAGCCTCGCATGTTTAGTTTAAATAACCCTCACGGTAATTCATTTCCCGAGAACTGTCCCCTATCTTGCAGATGTGAGAACTAGACAAAGAAGATAATACATAGCCCCTGGTTACACAGCCACATCTGGTCGTGTCTGGCTTTTGTTTCAGGCTCTGTAGCATTTTCTAGCCTCAAAGATGGCGATCTGTCTGTCTGTCTGTCTGTCTGAGACAAGATCTGGCCTGAATTCTCAGTCCTCCTGCCTCTGCCTCTTCAGTGCAGTGGATGTGTGCACTCACCCCAGTGAGCTGATAATGTTTGTGTTCAGCAGAACTGTCTCCATGGTGGGCTGCAGTGACGAGAAGCCAGGCAGGGCACGGTGGATCAGTGGTGTCTGTGTGAGCAGCTTGTGTTGTTCCTTTACTGCCATCTAAATACTTTCATCTTTTAAGTGTTCCCTGTATTGATAAGGATCGAATATAAGATTTTTTTTAACAAAAAAATAAGAATGGAAGGAAGACATCTTCTATGTAATCTTTTGTAGGATCCCTTATAATCTGGAGTCAACCTCAGTTTACTTTATTTAAAAACCCCTCTATAGCATTTTGATCAGTCTGCTGTTGAAGGCCTATTATAGAGACTCTAGAAACACTCAGAAAAAAAAGCCAGGATGCTTAACACTGCTGTAGCAATCATTCCTTGGAAATAACCTCATAACCACAAAAAACGGGAGACTATAAGTTCAAACATTCAAGCCTCGTTGCAGAGGTCCTGATGACACAGTTACTGGACAGTGATTTCCCAAGTATGGATTCATATGTTACTCATGAGCTAAATAGTACTTAGAAGGAAAGATGTTCACTCTGGAAACTGTTAAATATCTCAAAGTGACTGTCATAGGAGTAGAGATATTGGGTCAAGGATGTCTGGAATACATTTTTTCATGATATATGAGAATGAAAAACTATTTGAAAATCAATGTCTCTTATGTGTCATGATTTCAGATAGGTATGTATATCTTAAAATAGAGTGGTTCATTTTATAAACCACTGAACATTTTATTCAACTTAGCAAAAATAATATTTGAAGCTTTTCGCTGGAAAAGTGGTGATCACCTTATAGGGCTGTCACATCCTGACATTATGATGTCTTAAAGATGTATTGATCCTAGGTCGTCTTTGCTTTGTTGGGGGCTGAATGAAGCTTGATTATGCCTCTGTGTTTTAATTATGCTACTAAATTAGATTCAGTGGAGTTTTAGTTAGGATTTTCACATCAGTTCACAAGTGAGAATGGGGTTGGTTTACTTTTTTCACTGTCAGACTTTTCCGTCTTGGTTGAATTCATGTGGTAAAATAATTAAGATGGTCTTCCCATCTCTTTGTATGATCTGGAGCCTTCTTTGGAGGCATTTTAAAAATTATCTCCATAGTTTAAATTTTTTCCCTACTTACATCTAGGTATTAGTCTCCAAATATTTTCAAATTAGTTTTTCCTGAGATTAGTGACTGCCTTGATCCCACCTCAGGGTGATTCTCCATCCCAGGAAGGGTTCTCCACCCATATTTTAGCTTTGCTGGTTTTATCTGCTTTATTGGGGTGGGGGCAAACTTCAGTAGGTTGAATTGTTAATCAGCTTCTTTTCTTATCCCTTTCTGGCTTTCTGTCCTTTTCCCAGCCTCTCTCACTCTTATGTCACCAACTGGTGAGTTCTACCATTTTGGTTCTGCCCATCAGTGTTCTTGGTGGAGAGTATTGTGACTGTGTTGTTGATATCTTTGTAGCCCTTTCTTTCTTTGCTCAGTTAGTGTCCTTCTCCCATCACTGCACACCCAGGCCCCTCTAGTGTTGCCTCCACTTACCCTTTACTTACTCATGGTGTAAGCAGGACAGCTCAAGGTTACCTTGTGAGCTAGTTCCCATCTCCATTTTATCAAAGAAGGAACCCCAACTTCAAGAAGCTAAGAGATTAGCTACATGTTACCCAAGAGATTACCAGAATCCAAATTCAGATCTACTGGAGTCCATATGTAATTACCAGTCAATTGTTCTTTTAGCTCATCTCCTTGTCTTTTATCTCCCTCTTGGCCTACCTCTCCCCAAATCTTTCTAAGGAAATCTTTAAATCTTCATTTTTATGCTGAACAATTGCCAGCTGTCTCTGAATGTAAGTGATGTAGAGTCTATGTGCACAGCATTTGTGGTCATCTCTTTGTCCCCGGAGTAATTCTATCCCACACCTGTGGTTGGGTCAGGTTGATAGACACAGTTCACTGAGCTCCTAGGCCCTTCAGGAGTGAAATGTGTTCCACCTTGCAGAAGCCATTGACCAGTTATGTTTCTGTTCCTCTGGCCATCAGTTCTCTGACCAGCCCAGAGACGAGCCCAGGTCACAGCAACCTGACTCAACTCCATCCTGTTAATGCTTTGCTTTTGGAAAAGGCCCAGGAGACCCTTCCTCCAGTCCTAGCTTCTAGAAGTGATCAGGACCTCTTAACTACATATAAGAGGGTAAAGAGGTAACAGTTCTTTGGTTATGTACAAAATTAGCACTCCCAGGCTTTCCCCTGCCTCCGTTCAGGTAGGTGGAATGGCTCATGTCCAGAGACCAAGTAGCATAGGTTAGCCCTGTTTCCGCAGCTCATTATCTCTGACCTTAAACTTTGTGAAACTTTCAAGATTCTAGTATTATAAGTTGTTTCCCATTGTCATGTCCTAAGTTATGACTAGTTCCCATCTTTAACAGAAGCAGTGTTAGTCACAGTCAAAAGACAACATTTTAGCCTGGACTAAATCCCATCATCATGGCTCATCTTTCTAGTTGCTAAACTTCAGGAGTGAGAGCCAGTTCTTGATCAGTTAGACCAGTGGTTCTCATCCTCCCCCAACACTGTAACCCTTTAATACAGTTCCTCATGCTGTGGTGAATCCAACCAGAAAATTTTCATTGCTGCTTCATAACTGTAACGTTGCTACTGTTATGAATTGTAATGTAAATATCTGTTTTCTTGGATGATCTTTTCTTGAGGGGGGAGTGTCATGACCCACAGGTTGAGAGCCACTGAGCTAGATGAGGAGAGCCTGAAAAAGAAACAGTGGCATCTTGCACATGTCTACCATGTCTATACCAGCTCTTACTAGAATAACTAGTCTCAGTGAGGCTCTGACTAGGGAGAAACCTAATTTGCATTTCTTTCTCCAGAGGGTTTTCTGTGACTATCGACAGTTTATTTCCTAAAGTGGCATTTAATAATGAGCACAGCAGGGTGGTTATACTCCAGGGAAGAGGGCCTATGCCAAATCCACGTGGTTCATCCTTCCCAGTTCTCTGGCTACTTAGCGCTCTGCTTCCTAGTAAATGCTAGAGTGTTTGTGTATCCAGACTGGTAAATGTTGAATGTGTTAGTAAAGAGACCACAAAATGCACCAGCTTCTTGGTACCCAGCCAGTGCTCCATGACAGAGAAGATTCTAGGTTAGGCTGCCTTGAGGTTGCTAGCTTCCTTTTTGAAGTTCCCTTTATAATCTGAGAAATCTACAGGGCATCTCATCCTTCATCATCTGTCCCTCATCTGACTGGTTAAGATGACCTTGCTCAGTCATTGT